AAGTATAAAACAAATCAGATTCAAACAATTCTGAGTAAAGCTAATTCATATTCGTTTTTGGGATAATTATTGTTAATTGTAATATTAATAGAACAATTAAAAATGTTTTTAGGTAAATTAACCTCATTTTTTTGACCTTCCACCAAATGAAACCATATTTACTGATAATCTGAAGGTGTCGCCACTGAGAGTAGACGTACCAACTTCCTCACCGAGCAACATTTCTTCAGGTACAGACTAATTATTTGTATCCTTTTTTTTTTTTCTCGAATCACGCAAACAACACCTTCCAATATCGTAGTAGCGGGCCGCAGCAACAGAATTCATTTGTTTACTATCGCATAAATCGTAAAATTTTATGATGACCGATAAAATGTTGAACGTGCAGTTACAGTGTTATTACTGTCTCGTCCAAATTAAAAATCTCAGCGCCGCTCCGCCTCCATTTTTAACTTTTGGCCTCTGCAGTAATAACACTCATAACATTTCTAGATATATTAATAGCTATAAGCGTCGGTTCGAGATAGTTGGCTGCTCGACTGCTTGTTATAGAAGTATGGCGCACGGCGAGTTAACTCGGAGGGCCTGAGTTCAAGTCTCGGTGCGGAAAAAACGTTTGCTGGTGGACAACGCTTTTGCAGCTTCATGTATAGTAGGATTGCATAGAAGTTACAAATAATGCGAGAAAGTATGTGATGTTGAAGCTTCACTAATTGGTCTCTGTTTTGATTTACTTAAAGAAAAAAAGCCATGATTTGAACAACGCATTTTTAGCTACAATCGAAAAACTTGGTTTGAGTTGAAAAATACCGACTTAATTTCTAGTTTGCTATATTCTGTTTCAATAAGAACAGTGTGTGACAGGTGTGAAGTTGTTAACAACATACTCCACAAGTATTATAAATACAAATTGATAAAAATATTAAGTCAATGTCCATGATAAAACATTAAATAGTTGCATTAAGAAATGTGATGAAAAATATATTTTGCTCGTATCCATGAAATATAAGCCAGGAGCCGCCACTGACTACCTCTGACTATATTATCCAATTATGCAAAACATCAACGTATTTAATGTATTTTTGTACCCTGTAATAATACAGCCCCTTTCGTGTACGATCTCTTCTGACAAGGAAATTACACTCCACATCTCTGATACACAATGAGTGATGGTCGCGCGACAGTTCTTTTGTGTTACATGTCTGATCTTTATCGACTAATGATGCTGTTGCAGGACAAAGGTAACTGAAAACGGTGTATTTCGTTCTACCTTGTGTAGCCTGGCGATCGTGTATTTGCTTGTCTCTTTTGGACTACTGATTTAACTGATCACAACCTTCAATTATGAATGATAATTGGTACATTTCCTCACATAATTATCATACAATTCCTCACATATTACACTTCAGGATGAATATTTTCGTATTTTCTGCAGCATGTACTGAATATTTTCTACGCAGCTTTCAAAAGCTCCAGTGTGATGTACAGTGTTTTTCAGATTAACATGTCTTTTGTTAATGCAACACGACACTATATTAAGTTATCGACAAATGTTAAGCATGAAAGTGAAGGTGTAAAAAACATTTTCTGTGGATTTGTATAATTTATTGTTATTTCACGACTCTTTTTCAGAAACTTACAATTTTTATGCTATGAAAATGTCCTTCTCTTTTTCAAATTTGTCGCTCGTAGCAGTGATAAGCATAATTACATGTATCTCTCCAGTTGCTACATTTTTAAAGGGGCACTCTACATCAAATATATTGTCTGCTGTCAAAATGGTATTGCCGTTGTCGTATAACTTCTCTCAAGAATGTTTGTATTTTCTGGCGTTCGATGATGCAAGTGAGATTGGAGATCAAATTGCTCATTTAATTCACAATGTCTTCAGATGGGTAATTTATGCAATCAGTCACGTGTCCTTTGGAGAACAGAAGTGCGCTGGTTTACTGGTAATTAGTGATAACATGTCATTGTTATTACACGCCATAACATCCAGTAAGTAAATATCAATAGTAATAAATTGAAAAAATGTTGATAACTCAATAATTTCCTGTTTGTTTCAAGGTACTGCCAATCGGAGCTATTCATCTGTTCTGGCAATACATGTAGGAGAATCTGTCAAGGAATTGACACAAGTTTCTGATGAAACATTAGCCGTCCTGCTCATTTCCACAATTGAATCCAAAAACTGCAGAATAATGAACTTAGGAAACATGCATCTGCTGGCGTATTGGAATCACACTTCGAACCGTCTCGTTCTGAACGCAACCGCCCCGAAAGGCCCATGGCTGAGCGGAATGAGCTCCAACCATCACACGTGGAGAGGCGCTCTGCTCCCTCGCAGGCTACGCGTCTTGCCTCAGACCGGGGTGAGAGTGAGTCTGTTTCACTGCCCCCCGTTCGTCGTGTATCCTGCCCTGCCCCTTCATGGAAACGATTCCGAAACTTTCCAACGAAACGTCGACGGCATCGAAATGCGAATTATACGAACGCTCATGCGCAACATGCCGGTGCGTTTCATCCAAAGAGATGTGCACGGCATCAATGCGTCGGACTCGTGGACCGCCGTGTACGAGGATGTGCTCCACGAGAGGGCGGACCTCGCGGTTTGTTCCATGTGGGTGACGGATCACAAGTTATCTACCGTTGACATGACGGAACCCTGGACCAAGCAGATTGTGACTTTTCTGGCGCCTAAACCCACTCAGGTACGGTTACTACGACGATAAACAAAAAAATCAGGTTGCACGCGGTTATAAAACTCCTCTAATACAAAATTATTTGAGAGGAAGATTGGTTGCCAACATGGCTCTATCATATAACGTTCAATATAGACATTAATACTGATAGTAATGGTGATTATGAGTTGAAACACTAAAATGTATTGCTGATTTGTCATACGAGCCACAAATACACTTTTCGAGATTAAACTCCATTGTGATTCACAAAAAATAATATGCGAAAAAATTATTTCTAGACAAACGTTCGGCAAATTCGGTGAAACGGTTTCAAAAGGCCATACGTACATCAGAGATATTATGGAGAGGGTGGAAAACGAAGCACATCAATAATAGAACGCTGCATTATTCTAATGAAATGATTGTTTTACAGTAAAACAAATTTAAAAAATATTGTGAAACTTTCTAGAAAATTAAAGAGGCTATAAAAGTAGTGTAGCTAGAAAGGATGACCACAAAAGCTGTGTTTCTCCTGTTCAACTGGGGTGTGGAGCCACCTCCACGCTGCACATGACACCCCCATGTGTTGCCGTGTGCAGGACCGCAACTACCACCCCAGTGCGAGCAAAAGTAGTGCACATCGTCTTTTACTTTCTAGCTACGGCTTACGCAGTAGAGGGAAAGTTATGTAATGCTGCGCGAAGGACGGCGAATTTTCGGCAGAAAACCCTTATTACAGGACCCTAGTAACGAAAGTGGAGAAATCCAGTTTCTAAATTTAGAAAAAATCCTCTAACACGTGATGTAGCCAGAATCCTTGATGTAGCTAACACGTGATGTAGCTAACACGTGATGTAGCCAGAATCCTTGTGGGTCCTTGATACCGAAAAATCGAATGACGATAAAACGCCCGTCTGTCCATCTGTCTGTGAATAGCGCTGGCGACTAAACCGTTCAGCCGATTTTCTCTAAAATTGATATTCCCCAATCGACCTGGTTGTGGCCCTTGAATTTGAAACCGATATTTTAATATTAGATCTTACTTTATATATGAAGCCCATGGAACATTTTCCATATTTTCAACAATTTTCATTTTGGGTCCATCGTTGTTTATTAAATGTTGATGTTGATTAGTATGAAGGATGTTTAAGATAATGGTGCAGGTCTCATGTGTGATAAAACCCCTCCTTTTGTCCGAAAATTGGAAAAGTTCAAAATGTTTTCGAAGTCTTCCTGCGACTAAAATATAAAAATTGACATTTTCCCCTAATTATCACTTCCTTAAAGATATATTTTGAAATAAGGTCATGTACAATGTTTCAAAAAGTTGAGTACTTTTTGCGTTGTTTTGTGTGACAATACGGGGGAGGGAGTACATACTATTTTAGGATCATTCAATTTTTTCGTGTTTTTTCAAATAACTTGGTTTTGCGAAATTTTGAATTAAATGGTGAAATTTTCTCAAAAATGCGTAAAGGAGACTTTCCCACAAAGTAATTCCAAATGTTTGTCTTAACAATTTTTGTAGGAATACGGAGGAGTGAACTCGATTAATGTATGTAAAACCACTTTAGTCGTTAATAAAATGTTCAACGTCTAGAAAATAAAGTGGTTAAGAGTTTGTTAAACAACAAAGATGAGAGGAGCATTATCATGTGCTCCGCCGGGAGCTATAGACCTCTAGTTACACTTGAGGGAGTCGCCTCCAGATCGGTTTGGTTCTCGCCTCGTGCCTCCGATGAGAGGAACTGTAAATTGGAGGGTTAGGAGGATCGGTATACTGCGATTTATGCAACTCTGACTCTGGCAGGTATCAGCTGTTGGCAGTGATCCAGTCGGGAGCTTGAACGTCACCATAATGACGTCACTGTAGTGACGTTCAAGCTCCTGATTGGATGAAACCGTCAACAGCTGATACCTGCCGGGAGCAGAGTTGCATAAATCGCAGTGTACCGATCCTCCTAACCCTCTACGCAGAGGCCATGCCGCGACGCTGACGCGGCGCAGCAGACCTTCGCGCTGTCAACTGAATACTTGATATAATTCTTACTTGAAGAGTCTCACTAGACAACAAAATACACTTAGTAATTCATCATCCAGCTGAAATTTAAAAAAATCTGATTTCATTGAATTTATGAGGATTTCACTGAGCCACTGATATGGACGGACGGACGGATGGACGTAAGTCTCACGCACAACAGCCAGATTAGAAGCTTTTGGGCTGAGACTTGGTAAAAATGTCAGAAGTAATATCTACGTGTGCCGTTTTGAAAACCATTAACTAATCTTAATTTTGGGGGGGTGATAGTGTATCGAACGATGTTGTTTCGTTGTAACCACCTGCAACTTGTTGGTTGCAGTTCGTAGCTTAATGTCGCATGTGTGGAGGAGTTGCATTTTGGTGACGGTGGCCCCATTGTTCGGAAGGTGTCTCCCGCCGAGGCCGTCTACTTGTGCCTGGAGGTGCCCGCGTGGGGCGCGGTGGCGTGCGCGTTGGCGGGCTGCACGGGCGCGCTCTGGCTGGCGGCGCGGGCGATTCCGCCGGGCAAGATGGCGCCCCAGGACGAGAAGTACCTGAGCGCGCGCGTCTGCCTGCTCAGCACCCTGCGAGTGCTCGTCATGAACGCGCTGCCGCGGCTGCCGACGCACCCGGCGCTCCGCCACCTCCTGGTCACGTGGTCGCTGTTCAGTCTGCTGGCGACGACGTGCTACTCCACGGGATTCATGTCGCTTCTCACTTCCCCCCCGTTTACGAAACCGCTCGACACTTTCAAAGATCTTCTCTCTGAGAATATCTATTGGGGGGAAAGCTATGCGTTTCTTGACGATTTCATCGAAGAAACGGGTAACACTGATCTCATTGCTTTCGGTAAACGTTTCCAAGTAGAAAAACACCCACAAGATCGAGAAGATAGACTCAGCAAAGGGCATTACGCGGTATTCGTAAAAGCAATGAGCCATTACATCATGGGGGCTGAAGAAATTAAACCTGTTTTACGTCAGAACCTGAGAATTATGAAAGAACCCCTATTTTCGTTTTTCGTGGGTTTTGGGTTGCAAAGACGATCGCCCATTAAACGATGGTTTGACATCGGAATTCGAAGACTAATCCACGGAGGACTGATAGAGCATTGGCAGAACGAAGTTTTACGTAAGCTGGGTCATAAGTACATGGACGCCCTTCTCGCAAACCACGTCAACGCAGAAAACGCTCCGAATCCTCTGACTATGACAGCTTTACAAGGAGCCTTTTACATTTTATTGGTTGGTTTATGTGCTGCTGTGGTCGTGGCCTTCGTCGAAGTCGCAGTACATTGGGTGTGGAGGCTTCGACGCCCCGCGACCACGCCGTGTCTTCCAGGGCCTCGCATTCGTCGATCACCATTTGCCAGAAGGTGGAAATGGCGGTATTTTACTTAATGACAGCTGCTGGCTCGCGATGCTGTGAGTGCACTACTCACCTCTGAACGTTTCAGGAACGGAGCTTACACCTCCTTCTCTTTCCTCAGGTGGCAACAGAGCTGTTTGCATTTCCCCCCGCTGTATCAATTGTGCTAAGCTGATCTTGAACGGTGAATGATTGTGATTGGCACGATGAGACACGTGGTGCTTTGAGAAGCCAATCACAGTCTAGAATCGCTCATGCCTTACGCGGGACGACTCAGCCTACATGAATTCTGTTCGGAGCCAACACAAATCACTTGGTTTGGCTTTGGGAATTTCCTTGGGCTGGCTCGTAACCGCGTCTGTTTCGTTTAGTGTTCAGAGTTGCATTTGTAAGAGCCAGATCAGTGCCACCGATCGTAACTGTCAAGAAGACCTTATTTGCCATTAATACACGAACTCGGGGTGTTTCGTCATTCGTATTTTGTTGATGTGACGATCTCAAAAAGTGATCCAAAGTGGTTCAGTGAAATTGATTGTATTGAATAACTCTAACTATTAAACCAAAAAACATGATTATGTAAAGTATAATTTTAAAGATTTCAATAGGTAAATAAAGAAAATTTGTAGAAAAGGTTCCAAATTATTCAAACTGAAATCACAGTATACGAATACTGTACTGAAATGTGAATAAATAAAATCAGTTGTGTTTTTGGAAAACATATTTGAATGTATACCGCAACCAATATTGATCTTTCACATATGAACAGCTGAACTGAAAATGAAATTATAAGACTAATTTTAAAAATGTGTTCTTGACATGATTATAAAGTGAATTCATATTCATACCACACCATTATGTTACCTTCTAATTAGGTCATTCACGTCGTAAACATTGCAATGAACAACAAGGTAGTTTGAAGCGAAAAGCTGACATTTTGGAGAGAAACCTTTGCCCCCCCCCTCGTCGAGGGTGCATTTCAAATTTACATAGGAACCCGCAATTGCGTATTTTTTTATTATTTTTATTATTATTAATCATTATTATAATTATTTTAGTCATTATTATAATGATTATTATTAATCACTATTATAATTATTATCATTATTATTATTATTATTATTGAGTCACATACAATTTCAATCCTGTCAAAGTCACGAGTCAAATATGATGTGTCTGAAGGAAGTACTGTGGAGTAAGATAGAGATTTTTCTTTTGAGTAAAATTTTGTTTCCATAATTAGTTCTTTCATTGAAGTCATGCAATTTTTTTTGGAAACTTTAGAAGTTTTCGCGCAATATTGCAAGCAATATTAAAAATTTTTCTCAAAAACTGCTTCAATTTATTTCCTTAAAATTTGGTTGGGATAGTGTTAAATGTACTCTATCACGAGGTTTTACTTTTCTTTAGTATTCTTGAAGTAATATTTTGATTCTACCATTAGGAAACCGAAAAATTAAGAATGAATAGTGAAAGCCAAAGAACAAGAAAACCCCACAGAATTTTATAAGAACATAAGAAAATCTGCACCAAGCGTTGTAGTTACGATGGGATTTAATGCATATAGTGCGTTGAAAACAAAAGAATGCACGTTGTTAGGACAACCTATTAACAGTTATAGGATTCCATGCTTTATGTCGGAGAGTTGTTCTTTTGCGAAGTATGGCCTCGGGACATACGTAGAAAATGTAAAAGACGGCATTGGAAGTCGGGGTTCAGCGTGGATGTTGAAATGATCACTCTCTTGAAAGCTACCGAGCTGAACACACGTAAGCTATCGGTGCGGTTTGAATACTTTTTTAGCATGGGAGGGGGTATTAATTAAATAATAGTGTGGCGGGTGGCTTATTCGTTTTGATAACTTGGCAAAGTGCAGAGTAAGAAGTCGAAGCTGTTATTTGCATCGAATTGTAATGGTAATTTTTGTTAATGTAATTTGGGATTTGAATTCAAATACACCGTATTTCGAAGTTATTTATATTAGGATATCTTCGTAGATGAATTTTTAATACGTCAGCTGAAGATAAGTAGTCAGGTGAAGGTGTTTTATCCAAAGCACAGCTAGGGTAAGTCGCGTCCGCGAATAATTTTAATAGAATTACTGAATCTTATAAAGTATCTAATAGTTGTAATCTATTCTAACGATAGGCAAGAACGCGATAATAGTGGTATCGAGGACATTCCACGGACAGTATCGATCCCGAGGACACCTGAGAAGAACATGCATCCGAGAAGAAACTCTGAGAAGTCATTGCAGTAAGCTTTCGAACTTTACTGAAAACCGTGCAGTACTTTAATGTTTGTACAGAGGAAAAGTTCATTTCATTTATGAGCTCAATAGAATTTTGTAAGAATACCACAATAAATGTTAAATTTGTATTTTGTTAAAAAAGGAAAAACTGATAATTTGTAGTAGTTGCTATCAATTCAATAATTAGATTTAATGCGCAGAACGTACAGGAATCGTAATTCTGTATAGAATTACACGTCCACATGCAGCAAGTAAGGAGGAAAATGTATGTCGAAACCCATGATTAAATTTAAAAGAGAAATGAATGTATTATATAGTAGAATAGAAATAGTAATAATAATAATAATAATAATAATAATAATAATAATAATAATTATTATTATTATTATTATTATTATTATTATATGTAATATATAATATCAGATCACAATATTTATATAATTGTAAATAGTATCAAGATTTAAAATTAGTAGTATCAGTAGTAGAAAGTAGGAGAAATAGGTATTTCACAAATGACTTGCCCAACGTGGGGTAACAAAAGTATAAGTTTGGGTGGCGATAGATGGCAGCTGGCACGAGTGTGAGGCAAGACCGAAAAGCTAGTCCAATCCAAAGAAATTAGAAAAGTAACTATAGAAAAGCTAGTCCGAGAAAGTGTGTGCAATTTTGCAGCACTACTAGTTTCTTACCGAATTCAGATATGTGAATAGAATTTTTCCATCAGGCACGTTTTTGTTAAACAAATATTAAAGAAATCACCTCTAAAACAAAATATATTTCGATATATTAATATAATATAATATAATATATTGATATAATATTATATTACGGTGCAATTTAAATCAAATATGATAGATTTAGATTTATTCAGTCGAAAAAACATTAAAAACTGTACGTGAGGTAAGGGGAAAAGATGTTACAGTACATACGCGGTTTATTGTAGTTAACACAGCAATCGATGCGTACCGTCTCCTAAGATCGATGATTTACTAAGCCAAAAGGGAGCAGTGGTAAGAAAAATCGGATAGAAAAAGCGATAAGTTTTTTAAGATATACCGTCCTGATTGTGACATTTTATATGTGTAGTTAAACACTATGCTACAGTTCTAATTCCTGTGGCATTTTTCTATGTTTTAGCTATTAACATGTGCCAAAATTGTGTTAGTTCCTAGTTTTTAACTATGCCCCACAGCACATACGGTAGCGCAGTAGCCATGAAACATCATGCAGTTCTAGGCAGATCTGGAAACCACAATTACTAACGGCGTTGAGCCCCTGGCCGAAATGATAAATGGCACAGAGAGACTACGACGTTACGAGACAAAAATACATGAATTAGAAGGAAGATTAGTAGAGGCGTTCATTGTCCAAGATGGGCTTAGAGACTATTGCGAAGACGCACGCACATACACACTCCAAAAAATACGAAATTTTATTTCATATAAATATAAATTAGAATAGGCATGAAAAATAATTAGCACCTACACTATTTTCATATTAGTGAGGTAATCTTATTTTCTGTTATATAAATACATTTGAAATTTTCCAATTACCGTACTAATATTAATAATAATTATTAATATATTATGAATTATTATATTATTAATAATTAATAAATATTATTTGAATTTCTTGACCTACGACAAACAAAATACAATCGTGGGGACAATTTTTCAAAAAAATAAGGAATATTCAAAATTTGAAATAAATTAGAAAAAATAAAGAATATTCAATATTGTTTTAAAAATGTTTCGTGTATGTTTAAAATTCCCGCTAATGTGACTGACACTAGTGCATGTAGCTCATTGGCTAATGATAGGTGGATAGGCCGGATAGCATAGAGGAGAGATATTTCTCCTCTATGCCGGAAAGGCGGCGCAAAAGCACACAGTTTATTAGACAATAGAATGTGCAAGTTATTAATAGATTGTGCCCGTGTCATAACATCACTTGCAAAACCTCTTTCTCGACTTCACCCCATTGATACCGCACTCCACCATGACTTCACCTGCTATTGCCATCGATATTATTATTTTGTTTGTTGCACGACCGAGCTGAGCATTTCAACCCGTTATATAATCTCTGTTTCAACTATGAGGCCAACGCGAAATGCCGTGAGACATTCCGTCGTGAAGAAAGCCCTCACGCGCCAAGACATAAAACAGGACCTTGCAACTATATTGCAACTCTCCATCAAAACGGGACAAAGCTTGAAAGTGTTACTACAGGAGGCGCTAGTGTCGCCAGGTACAGCCGCAGGTTAGACTCGCCAACTTCTGCAAATAAAACGGTTAATTTGTGAGAAATGAGAAAAGTGTCTTTTAAATATTCAATTTCATAACATATACATATAAGAAACTCCTGAAGAAAGCGCAAACATCGGCGCTATCTTTTGTAACATTACGAGCCTACTTGCGACCCACGAACTCACGCAGCAGCCACGCGTTTGAAGTATCGTTGGCAGCAGTTCGTGTTTTTGTTCCTCTAAGAAGGCGCTGCAGCAGAGCGCGTCATCGAGATGGTTTCCACCACGTTATATATGGGAGTTATAGGGCCCTGACATAATCCGAAGTATACACTGTGTAGTGCATGTTGACAACTGGTTGACAAGTCGAGGAATGAATAGGACAAATTATTGCAGTAATGCTCTTGTTGTTACTTGATTTTTTCTGTGCGTCTTGTTACTGAATTTGATTACGTTTTGTGTGTCGTAGAAGGAATTTCATTTGCCTGGAGCAAAGATGTATTGACTTACACTGTAGGTAAAGTAAACTAATGAATGTTCTAACCTAACTTTGGAGAACATAATTTGAGAACACTATGAATAGTGCAATTAGAGCGGGATTTTTGTTTCGAAGACTCCATAGGTGTGTTTTTAGACAAATAGAACGTCGTGTTCTAGCTCTCCCTTTACTAAACTTCCATACTTTACTGATTCAGAGGGATTGTCATGCCTCTGTAGGGAATGTGGAAATTACCGACATTCCGGACATTAAAGATCTGACCCAAGGAGACCCCACTCTGGAGAAAAAGTTAAAAGTGATCATTCTTGAAGTGGATATTTGGCGACAAGAAGGAGAGCGAGTACCACCCCAGTTGAAACCCGCTGATTGGAAAGAATTAATTTCGTTACAGAGTAGGAGTGCCAGAAAGAAGTACCTGTTGTTCATCTGGAAAAAAGAAATGACGAAAAGCAATGAGAAAAGAAAGAAGGAGTTGAAGAGAATTAATAGAGAGAAGTTAGACATTCCTGTGCGTGATCATGATACTTATGGACTTGGTGGTAATACAATATTCATGCGAATACGTGAAAGTACAATGACCAATTATTTAAACGGAAAGCTCATAGAGGCCATGCAATTTGGTCAAGAACTGGTAGTCGATTGTGGTTATGATCAATACATGACAAGGAGAGAAGCAAAAAACTGTGCTAAACAATTAATGTTACTTTTCTCAGACAACAGAATGCACATTAATCCATTTAATTTGTACTTTTGTAATGCCAGAAAAGAGAGTGAAAGCATAAAAGAATTTGGTAAATTACTGTGCATTCCTTTTGAACCACACTTCCCTTTAAATATCACAGAGAAAAGTTACCTTGATTTGTTTCCGAAACAAAATTTGGTTTACTTAACTCCACATTGTCGAGAAGAGCTTCTGCATTATGACCACAATGCTGTGTATATAATTGGTGCAATGGTTGATAAGGTTCATAACGAACCGTTATCTCTTGCTAGGGCAAAGGAACAAGGTTTGAAAATGGCCAAATTGCCCCTAGATAGATATCTTTCATGGGGAACTGGAAGTGGAAAGAGTTTAACTTTAAATCAGATGATAATGATCTTGCTTGATTTAAAACTTTCTGGAGACTGGAGTAAGGCTCTTAAGCATGTGCCATCAAGAAAAATTATGAAAGTGTATCAAGTAGACTCTTCAGCCAAACAATTTAAATTAAACAAAAGTAAGGATGAAAAATCAAGCCCGAAAGACTTTTACAACCAGCTATTGCTTAAAAAGATGAATAAATAGTGGTAGAATGTAGATGTTTAAAAGAAACTGTAAAAATGTAGAAATAGTATAATTAAATCTCTTCAGTCTTGATTGTTTTGTTTTACAAAAACCAATGTAATTGTGCAACATGTTAGTAAATTTTTTACATGCATAGGTGATTCAGTTTTATTGTTTTCATAGTGTCTCTAAACTACTAACTTAAATGAACTTTGCAATGTTGATTTATTTTAGTCTTCTCTTAATGAAAATTCTAACTCCTACTGCTGCCATTTAGCGTCTTCCGTATTTTAGTATTTCTTACTTGGCTATTGAAGGTTTTAGAAACTTCTTGTGTATGTGCAAACAAAGGTTTCCAAATCCAGAAAATATGAAACAAGGATGAATCATGACCATCTATAAGGTGAGTTAATCTATGCATTTTGTATCCTGTTGCTGTGGAGGATGCACTAAGGCCTACTGTGTATCTATTTTCATATATACCAAAATATTATATATCATTATATCCTATGAACCAAAAGAAATAATAATATTTGCATTTTCATCCATTTGCTTATTTCAGTGGATATTATAATATGTATGAACTTGTAATGTGTTGAAATTTGTTCCAGATGAGTGATAAATTTAATGTGTATACTTTCAACAAATACTTTTTTATGCCTTTGAACCACAGTTTTCAACATTTCAGGATTCAACATTTCCTAGTAGCTAGGCTCTGTAAAACACAGAGGTATATGGTAAGCATGTGAGGTTTTATCATAATTTTGACTTTTTAGAATGAGGAGTCCTATTTTTTGTACATGTTTTGTTTCCTTTTCTGGAAAAAGCTTCAATGTAAATTAGCAAAAGGAACTTAACATGGCTTTGAATGCTGAGTGGCTTCAGAAAAATGTAAAGAGTTTATAATGTTATTTTACTTTTCCCGTCCATGAACTCATCAGTGGGTCATATGTGCTGGATCTCTTGTCTCTGAGCATTCTTAGCATACTACTTAATTGTAATAAAAAAATGTTTCCCCCATTTTACCAACATACACATACCCACACTTGTTGAGAACCTGGAGTTTGTCCTGCCGGGGGCAATATTCCACTGGTGGAGGGAAAAGCTGGTTGGAAAAAACCCTGCAAGCCGATGTGTAGGGCAGCGCCAGGTCTCATCACCATCACTATCTCTTTAACAAGAGCATTGTTATTCACTGATAATACATATTTAATGAACTTTTTTAGAAGTCACTAGTAAACCAGTAATTTTTAGGGCATGCCCGACATGCTAAAAGTGAGACATTCAAATCTTCAGTTAAAAAAATGAATGTAACAGAGAAGACAAACTAGCATCATGTACTGTTGATCTTCATACAACTTGGTACAAAATTAAGTGATTCATATACTTGAATTAAAATAAAACAAAAGGCTGTCTAAAAAATAGATTGATACTCACGATAAAAATGATTTTATTTTGCTCAAAGGATTGCGACATGAGGCAAAGTGGCCTTGACTCACAAAATAAAATGTCACTTTTACCACCATCATAAATAACTATTTTTATGTTGCATGATAATTATATAAAAAATCCAAAATAAGAAAATATATTACTCAAAAAAATACATGAATATTATTTTTTTAGAGAAATAATTGTAATAAACAAAAAATAGTCACATTTCAACACAACCTCCTGCTGGAAATGACTTGTGTAGTTTCAGGTGAAATGCTGTAAAACTAAGAAGTGCAATTACCATCAAATTATCTTAACGTAAAATATTGAATAATATTTTTTTAAGTTTTATGTGTGCTGTACTAGAGAAATGGTACAAATATTTTTTTTAATTAATTTAAGCAAAATTAAAGTAGAGGAGAAATAATATTATCTTATATTTGACAAAAACTTACCTCTTCATTACAAACTTAATAAAATGTCCATTGATCCAATCATTTTTAAAATAGTTCACAATCTCGTAGCATTCTAACAAATAGAATATACTTTTCCTTACATTACTACAGAATTTCTTTATTAATTTTACTACACTCTACCAAAATAAAATACAGTCAAAATTTGCAATTTGAGCACTTAATCTATCAATGAAGATCATTAAATTATGGAAAGCGACATTACAACAATGTAACACGATTGTATAAATAAAAACAACTCTCTTCCTCCCACTTTCGTTAGAATACTTTTCAGGTTCATAATCTTGTTATCTTTGAGTATAATCATAAATTTGATTTTGTACTTTTACATTCCTTAGGACAGATTTTGTTAATAATAATATTTTGATAGGAGTGTTTCAATGGTTCTGTTCCTTGTTTTCATTCTGGCACCATAATCAAGTTTTCTCAGTTTTTTTGAATTAATAGTTTCAAGTTGTGAGTTCCACTTGAAATTGGTTTGTATGAGGATTCCAAGAAAGTTTGTTTTCTGTGCTTGTGTGAGGCTGGTGACTTCTATTGACAAATTTGGTGAATATTGTTACGTTCAGTGGAAGTGCATTCTGATTGTTTTGTCTGCATTTATGATTAGTTTTGTTTTGGAGGATCCATTGTGTTAGCTTTAGTTTTTTTCCTTGGAACATTATATCAGTGAATGGTATTGAGTTACTGATTTCCATTGTCAATGGAAGGCTTAGCACAAACATTTCTTCCAATATTGATGGCAGGCAGGGATGATTAGCTCAAAACAAGTGAGGGACCAAATGCATTTTGGCACCCTTTCCCATTAAACTCTTTCTTATGAAATATTTTTCTCATAAATAATAATAAAAAAAAAATTAAAAAAATACAAGAAGAATTAAATTATAACAATTAACAATAAGTAATTGATTAATACATTTGATCTTGTGTTGAACCATGTACAGGATTGCCAGATGACTTGGAGAGTCTCTTCCCAAATTCCCACATTTCCACAAAATTAAACCAATGTTTAAAAAGGGTAATAGTTATAATCCAATGAACTACAGACCTATCTCCGTTATCAGGATTTTCAAAAATTCTGGAAAGGCTTTTCAATGATAGATTCAAACAGTTTCTCAAATCAAATAATGTCCTTACAAATGCACAACATGGCTTCAGGAGTAATAGATCCACAGACACAGCCATCTTCTCCTTTTTAAATGACATACTTGTAGCACTAAATCAGAAGAAAATTCCCATTGGCCTTTTCTTAGATTTGTCAAAAGCCTTTGACATTATTGATCATCACATTCTTTTAAGAAAACTAGAAATGCTAAGGGTTCGAGGCATTGCAGGCCAATGGATCTAATCATATTTATCAAATCGTAGCCAAATAGTTGCCCTCCAGCACACTTAGGAAAACAAAATCTCCTCATACTACTCCTACCCTCAAATGATAAATTGTGGAGTTCCGTAAGGATCCATCGTCAGGCCAATACTATTCCTTATATACATAAATGACATGCCTTTGGCTTTAAGGAACAAAATAATTTTGTTTGCAGATGACACAAACATAATCATCAAAGCAAAAACACAACAATCATTAGAAAAAGAAACTCTCAAAACTTTGCAAGCACTAGTAAAATGGTTTCAAGACAAACTCATAAACACCAGCAAGACAGTCTCTCTAAATTTTATGAATCGCCAATCTAAAGAAAAACTCTCACAGCATTTGCTCATAAACAATAACCCTGTAACGAAATCTCATGAAACTACTCTCCTCTGTCTAATAATTCTAGAAAACCTAAAATGGAATGCTCACATCTCAAATATTAACAAGAGCTCACCAAATCTTGCTATGCCCTACACCCCCTCAGGTCAAGCCACCAACTTGAGACGCTTCGAACAATGTATTTTGCACTCGCACCTAAAATATGGAATAATATTCTGGGGAAAGGCTCCTGAAAGCACTCGCACATTTATTTTCCAAAGAAGAATATTGTGAACAACTACCAGCACTCGTAAGCTGGTGTCTTGTAAACCCTTGTTCAATAAACTAAGGATTCTTCCATGCATGTATATATTTGCAATAGTGGTCTTCACAAAGAAAATTCTCATAGAAAACAGACACTTTTACTTTAAATTCTGATGTACACAACTACAACACCCGTCAAAAGGATAACTTACATGTTCCCCACTCTGAAACTACACTTTATCAAAAAAGTACCCTAATAGAGGGCATTACACTTTACAACAAACTAGGCAATAATATTAAAGACATAAACACTATTCAAACATTTAAAAGTAAATTGAAAGCTTTCCTGCTTAACATGTTCTACAGTGTAAAGGAATATTCAAATTACAACAATATTTCCCTAAGAAAGTATAAATAATTAAGAATTTCTTATCCCATTAGACTTTCTGTTTCGAGCTGAAGCAAAGAAAAAAGAACTGGCATATCGCATCCTGTGAAGTAGAAGGAGAATACCTGACAAAAAAACAAAAATACCAAATTCTGTTTCTCTCTGGATTTGCTAGATGCATTAGATGTTGCAGTGGGACTACGTGCACAAATTGGAAGAAAAAACTGGTCAAAACTTGTATCCTCCTCTTCCTCCTCCTCACCATTTCAAGTTTTAAATATAGAATGTACTAATATTGTTAAATTTTTTGTAGTTGCTACTAGAATTGATATGTATTGTATTAATATTATTATTATAAGTAGTAACATTAAAATGACAATAACATCTTCAAATGTTAAATTATGTGCTTTACAAATAATTATTTACTGTATAATATCTTAATCTATCTGTAGCATTATTGTAGTATAGGCCTAGACCAATGGCCCCATCTTGATCAGGCTTTGTTCAGTTTTCCTGGTGCCTTGAGCAAATGCTGAGATGACCCCCTTGTTTGCTCCTGAACAGTAATGTAACTTCACTCAAAGTCTACCCATATTGACTCGTCATACACAATTGTATATGTGACTCAATAAATATTATTATTGTCAGGTTAAACTAGTGATGCTACAGAATGGTGCATACTTTCTCGTACTAGAATTAGTTTCCTGTTCTGTGACATCTAAAAGATAACCAGTACCCCAAAATTTAAAGATTTTCAGAATTAGGGTTTCGAGCAGCATGACTGGCCGAGGCATATTCTTTTTGGCAGTAATCTTAAGAATAGTTTAGGCGCTAGTGTTTTTCACCGGCGAACGGAGAGGTGTTCCGAAAAAAAAAAAATCTTTGGTCACACGGAACACCCAAAATGCGTATCTGATAATATTCCAAAATCAATTTCCCGCAGCATTACCGTTTTTCAGTATAGAAAAGTCACGTGGCCTATACGAGAGAGTTTCTCGGTGGGCACAGAAATTTCAAGAATGACGTCACAACGTTTGGCGGGTATGCGATAGGTGGCAACTTCTGATAAGTGGACAAGCGATTCGTAATGAATTGTTAAGTTTTTGACTGTATTAGGCAGTTGCTGGGGTTCGTGTTTCGTATCTCGTTTGTTGTTGTACTGGATCGTAATTTCTCTTTATAATTTAATCAGTTATTTTTTTATCGTAGTCCCTCTGATAATTGAATCCCCTATAAATTCTTTTAACTTAATCTAATGCAGTGGCTAGTTCTATTTTTTATTTAAGTTTTGGGTGTCTGCATACTTACATTATCTCAGGGTACTGTCATCTTTCTCGAGGGCTAGAACATACAGCTCATACGAGCATTCGGATGGTGATTTAATATTGATAGGAAATATCCTTTAACTAATTTTAATCAAAAATCAAACAACTTGTAATTGGTTGCGAAATTGCCAGCGACAATAAGTGTCAGCTGCTAAAATTAATTTATTTCGTTATTCGATTTGTTTTAAATTTAACAAGATCTCATCGTATTTTTCTGTTACCTATTTTGATTATGGCCATCGAATAACAATTTTTAAAACAACAATTATTTTTCAAACTTAATATTACCTTAAAATTAAACATATCGTGGTATTGCTAAAATCTTTTTCTAAAAGGTGTTTTTCCATTTGTCTAAACTAAAAAGGTCATCTGGAGGCTCAGAGCAAAGTCGCTCGCCTTTCACCAAGGAGGCCCGAGTCCGATTCCCGATTAATCCCGCACAATATCGTGAGAAATCTGTTTCAACAAAACCAGTTTGGTTACTTCACATTGTGAGGGCTAGTCCAACTCCTGTGAAGGATCATAAGCGGAGAGCCTAAACCCTACCCCAATTCTGGCCGCTGAGTAGTGACGCAGGAGCGCGTAGTAGAAAGTGCGTATGCGAAGATCTATCTGCCGGCCTTCTTGACAATTGACTGCGACGAGACGTGACGGATATTGCAATGTAATAATTAATGGAGGATTACTCCCGCGCTATTGTTAATGGATGATTACTCCTAAAAACGCAAAGCGCTCAACGCCCCTCAAAGGGCTTGGAGATACGTTGCGTCTATTAAAGATACGACGAGCTGGGAGAAAAAAAAAAATTGCCTTTGCGAAGATTATTCCAGCATTTGTGGCGATGTGAATATTCCATAATTTCTTACTGGAGTTTTTCTAATTACCACACTTATTTTTGTTTTTAAGTTTTGCTACCATGCGCGACCTGAATAGTTCATTTACTTCCCTATTTTCTGAAAAACGCGGACATGTTCATTCTCTATCTACGTACACACGAACTAACAACAAAATATATTTACTCAACGCCCTGATGACCATCGATCCTCGCACTACAAAATCCAACAAACTTCTGTTTTAAAGTGTTCGTTTTCACCTTTCGATCTGTCTTAATAAGTTTACTTGTTTGATTGTTATTACTTTGAATCGATGCACTCTGGTCGCACTCGCAACCAAGCATCTAACGTCTCTTATCTCATTAACAATGTCCCATGTTATTAATATGCACTGTTTTCGAAAAAAATGTCCAAAATTTATTTAATCCTTATAATATTTGCATTTTTTGAAGCCTTGCATTCTCTATGACTAAATTGTGTCTTTGCGCAATTCCTTATTTTGTACTTGTTATACGGCATTCATGTTTTGTTTTTCGTATACAAAAATACAGAAAGGCATTCCCTTATTATTTACAATGATATTTGTATTCTTTCGGTTTGTTGAGGACATGGCTGCTCATCTCGATTCATAAATTTAATGTAAAGAAGCACTATTCTATCAGACATACCGTATATCAAGTCACTCTCTTTTCATTTTGAAAATTGTTGGTAGTAAATATTATCATGACCTTAGAGATGGTAATAGAAGGACATAGGTTTTGATAATAGGAAAATGTGGTGTTAATTTATAATAAAATAAAATGTGTGAAACATTGGATTCACGTGTCCATTCATCAGATATGAAAAGTGGAATTTCGGGGCCCCTATGTTATTCGAGTAGAAATGACTTCTTCCGTATATTTTAATAAGCTGTCGGCTTTTAAAATAGTTCTTTTAAAAACGTGTATTAATTATTATCATTTACAGAAATAATACGTACATGAAACTTCAATAATCGTTATAAAAAAAATTCATAGAGACTCCCAAAAATGTTCGATTTTTCAAGGAGTTATCACACGTCGGAGGAACTTTCAACAGCAAGTTAACCAGAATTTTTAAATTTAAATTTTAAATTTTTAAATTAACCAGAAATTTAAAAATGTAAATAAATATTACACATTGAAACATATTTTAAAAAAATGATTGCAGTTCCTGTGCTGAATTAAAATTTTCACGGTTGAACTTCAATATCTAGCTATGTAATGCTCTCGTGGCTTAATGGCGAAGTCGATGAAATGTTAGCCTCGAGGTGCCGGGTCCGAATCCCGCAGAATCTCCATAGAACCACGTGTGAATTTTGTTACGGTGCCATTTCTTGCGATACAATTAGCAAATAGTCTAGAATTTGCTCAACCTTTTAGCGGCTCATGCATGTTATAATGCTGTGTTTGTCCAACATATTCAGGCAATGCATGTAAATGACAATTTATTTTTGTGAGAGCTATGTCCTTTCAGTGGTTTTTATATTGATGCAAACATGTGGAAAATCAACATACGTTTAGAGGTGAAATACCTGAGAATGACAGAAAAATATTTAGTAGATGTTTGAATTCCGAATTACGAAGATTACCTGTGTTACATGTATGTGGCCACTACTAGCTTGAAATAATCAACTTTTCTTGCTTCTTCAAAGCAGAAATCCACTTCCGTTCGCTGTGTTTCGAGGATGATATAATTTTTCTTTTCTGATTTTTGGGAACGGTAGGGAATTTAAACAATAAAAAACAAACTTACTGTCTCTCTCGTCCCCTTTTGCCCCAGTCCAATACCGTACACGACTTGGTTATCGTGAAAATACAACTTTATTTTAGTGAAAAAAGAACGTCTCACTGCAAGATAGTGTACGTACATAAAACGAATATGTTTTTCAACTATTGTAGGCAGAGGAAAACCTTCAACGAAGCATTACCTCGACCAACTAAACGAAAGAAACTCCGCATTTATACCGTATTTTAGCTATTTGTTTGCGTCACACCAGACCAGCATCTTGCCACTTGTAGCTATGGCATTGACCGACACCCTGATGAGCCTCAGCCGGTGGCAAAACCAGAGTGGCGAAGAGAACTCGCATAAAATGTCATTTTTTATTTATTTGTTTTTTTGTCACAAACATAGATACTGTATGCTATAAGACTAATTTCTGGAATTTCGAAATTCGGTGGGGCAGGTGTTGACGTCTTGTAGTTGCTCTTTGCTCTCTGCTCTTGTTTGGGAATGGTACTGGGCAGGTGCTCTGGGAGGAGGGACGGTGCGGGTGGGATGACTGTCGGCGACGGTGGATGAGCACCGGTAGTTCTAGATATTAGACGCTGCTGAGATTTTGCGTTTCAGCGAGTGAACTTGACAATTTAAGTATTAATTTCTGACGAAAAATGCCCCTTTGAAAGTAAGTTTGGGCGAGTTTTCTTGAAGACTATTAAAGAAATTTCACTACGTCGGTTTTCTGTTCATTAACATTTTGAAGATAGAACTGCGAGGATTTAATTAATTCTTTTGTATTTGTTGAACGATCATAAATGAGAGAAATCCTGTAATGAAATCATGGCGATCAATCTGAACAAGTATAGGGACAACTTATTGTCTGCGTGGAAAGACGTGTTAGATGATAAGAGCCCTACAGACTGGTAAGTCGAATGATCCGTTATTTCATGAAAGAAAATGTGTTTTAGTGCAAATACTTTGAAGCTAGGACAAATTCTTAGAGATATACCTGCAGCTTTTTCAAATTTGACCCACTTTCTTTTTAGGGCATTGTTTGGATATGAGGGACAAACCAATGACCTGAAAGTTGTGTCTAAAGGCTGTAAGTATCAGGTTGCACAGTTTTATTATAGATGAATAATTTTTGATAAAATTACTTCTTTTTAACAGCTGGGGGAATAGAAGAGATGACAGAAGATCTAAACAGTGGTAAAATAATGTATGCTTTCTGTAAAGTTATAGATCCAAAGACAAGTCTTCCCAAATGTGTTTTGATTAACTGGGTAAGTATGTAGTAGATTATTAATAAATTAGTGTATTTATAGCACTTAAGTTACATATTACATGGTGCTCAAGATAAAATTTACTGATCCTTATTCATATTTTTATTAGCTTAGTTTATGAATTAGACTGTTTGAGGCATTAATACAGTAATTTGTGTTGGTTATTGGGGACAATCGAGAACCATTTGAATTTCAGAAGTAAAGAGCTACATTACTATCCAATTGCAGAGGGGAAATTTATTAATTCATTAACACCCAGTTCCCCCCCCCCCCCTGGAAATTGAAATCTCATTTTGACATATGTTCACAATTACTGTTATACTCATGATGTAATGGTTTTACACTTTCTTTGTTATTTTGACTGAAATTGCATTTTCTGTCCTTGTGAGGAAGGAGAGTGTCAAGAGGTATCATTTGTTAGGTAATTAGGCAAATGGTAAGTCTTAAGAATTTCCATTTTTGTACTTTTTGTGTTAAACATAAAAGCAATGTACTTTTAATATCCACACAAAGTTACAAACCTCTTCAGATGTAATATTTTAGACTTCCCAGAAAATCCCTCCAACTTGCTTTATATTTAATGAGATTCATGTTTGTTTGTTCTCCCGCATAAAAATATATTATTAATTATAATAATAATAATAATAATAATAATAATAATAATAATAATAATAATAATAATTAACAAAATTATTAGCTAGAAGTTAAAAGGAAAATGGATGTTCATAATACAATTCTTCCTTTGAAGTGGGATGTAGTAAGGTAGTCTAGAGTAAATTTAGTAAAATTAGAAAAAAATGTCAATTAATGGGAGCTTCCCTTTGCCTGATCTGTCACTGAGGGAGCTATTTTATTTGGAAAGTGGGAGCCACAAACTTCATTCCTATGAAGATGCATCTAGTTTATCCAGATATTGTCAACTGTCAGATATTTTGTTCGATAAAAAATGGACCAATAGCGTTTTTCCTCAAATGCGAATTGCAGGCTTTCCTGTGAACCAATCTGCCCAATTTCTAAATTTGAGGTTGGCTTATGGAGACCATGTCATTTCTTCCCTGTGCCATCCCAGTACTGTAATTTTAGTCCTCAGGGTGTCAAAATTTGTGTAAGTTGTTTGTCATTCCATCTAACAGAATGTTTCTTAGCCCTTGACATATTTATTTCCATAAGAAACTCAAAATTGATTTCTTTTGAAGTTTTCGTTGGACAGTCACCTCTCACAATATACCTCTGGCTCTGTAATGAAAATATATTAGTAGATCTTGACTTTAACAAATTTCATAGCTTTCAGATCTTTGCCAAATATTTCTGGTTAATCTTTCACCTCAGCTGGATCAATTATTTCATTCAAATCTTTTTCCAAGTCTGGTGGATCTCCTTGTTCAGCTCTATTCCTTAACTCTTTCTGCAAAATCAGTATTGTTTAGTTACTTAGTAATGTCAGAGAAAGTAGAGCTGTTAAATATTTCTAATAATATAAAATTTGACATTTCTGTTGGATTTTGAAATGGTAAAAGTGGATTGTTCCCATGCCCTCTTCATCCTCCTTTCCCCACTTTGTCCCCATTTGTTCCCCTTGGTCCTCTTTGTCATTCTGTTTATTACTGTCACTGCTATTTTTATTTAAAAATAGTACGGAGGCCCTTGCTACAGAACATCGAGAATGATGGCAATTCTCACCTCGTGAAAGTGTTAAATGTTTATTTTGAATTATTAGAAATAACAATAAACATTGTATGTATCACGTCCTCTATTAATCTTTAAGGACTTGGCCAGAAGAATAAATTATTCGGCTCCGCTATCACTCCCTCTCACAGTTGATCTTCCGGCCTCATCCTTAGACTAATTTAGAGGAATTGTTATATTAATAACTATTATGATGCCTACCCATTTCTCTTATCTAAGAATTAGAGCATTAAAAAAACTTGCATGCAAATTTATCCCACAATGAAATAGGGGACTAATCTGCCTGGACGTGAAACTTATGAAAGTTTGTTTCTAGTTCTATATATTATAAAATTGGGTAAATAGAAACAAAACTTCAAGTAAAAAAAATACAGTGTTACAATTTTTTCCTATTTCAATTTTCAAAGCATATCTGTTATTTAATGAAAAATATATTGTCTCAAGAATGGATAAATTGCTTATTTGAACTTTAGTTTATATAAAACTATAGTTTTTTCAGTGTGATGGAATTTTTGGTAGTTATGTTTTCTACTGAAAACTCCAAATCTACAAAGGCTTTGGAAAAAGGCATTTTTTGCTGATATGTAGAATTTGTTGATTTTGAATTGTTGCTACATATATTGTTGGATATTAATTTATTATATTCTCTGTTTCTATTCCTTTCCTTAAAAAAAAAATTGAAACATTAAAACATTTGAGGGTGTTTATTATTTATTTATTGCTTATTATTTATTTATTTAAACTATTAATCCTCTTTATTGTACACACGATCTGTATATTGTACAATATTGTACACAAGAAGAATAGGTTTCTAAAATTTCATGATTTATATTAAAAGGTCTGAAATTTGTGGCATAGTGGGTCAATGTGGAATTTCTTAATTTTGTGTAATCGAATAATTTGATACCGAGATATTGCAACCTTTGACAGCAAGGTGAAGGAGCCCCACTTGTGCGGAAAGGCACATGTGCAAATCATGTACGAGATGTGGCAAGTTTTTTCAAAGGAGTCCATGTCACGCATAATGCTCGCAATGAAGAAGAAGTTGACACACAACTTATTATAGATAAAGTTTCCAAATCAACAGGCTCGACATACAGCTTCAAAGAGCGTGGTGATCACGTGGAACGTGTGGCACCTATAGTAAGTAAATAACTGTTTATGCCATATGACGTTTTGTTCTTTCTTAACATTTTAGAAAATTCTTCAGTTGTGACTTCTTTACAACACTAAAATAAAAGTACTGATATTATTGTAGCTAAATAAATATAGCCGTTTAGTGGATGGAAAGAAACTAGAAGATATATTTTGCATTGAAAAGTATATTCCTAGGATGTAAATTGATGAAAATAATTCAATGTAATCTCCAGATCTTGTGCATTGAACAAGGTGAGAGTGGAACATGGATAGAGTTTCTTCAAGACTGCTTTGATATAATTGGAAAAATTTAGATAGGACAAATATATCCATTCCTAGCAGTTTAATATCAATCGAGATTGAAACCAGTGTTCAGTTTCATAAAGTGTATATAAATCTTTACTCTTTGTCATGAGGCAAGAAAAGAAACTTGAATCCTTAGATGGTCAGTCCTGCTGAAACTTTACTTTCACTATTGTTCCTTCTAGGACAAACTGTTCATTTGACTTATTTTTAACCCTCAAACTTTCGCCATTATAATTGTTTCATTGACATTAAAATTTGCATCAAAAATACAAAATGTATTGTTCACGAGGAATAATATATTTTGATACCCTTTTTAAAATTGCTCCCAAATTCTATTTACAGTAAAAATTCTTGATTAAATATTCAATTTTTAGGGTACGACATATAAGAAAGTAATTCCAACACAAGAAATTAATTCTTTAGAGAGAGACAAATTCTGGGAGAAAGAAGAGAAGGAAGAGAAACAGAGACAAGAGGAGGAAAGGCGTCGTAAAGAAGAAGAAAGGCTAATATTGGAAAATGAGCGCAAGCAAAGAGAGGTAATGTGTTTGTGTGAATGTGCAGTAGCTCATGTTTGCAGTTATTACTGTAAAGAAATGAGTTTTATGTGGAATTTAGTAACTCAAGCCTTTGTGTCTCACCACCCTTTCTCAGAGAAATGAGAGGATGTAAGAGAGTGAACTTTAGTTGTCTGTTGGTAATGAACACTAAACATTATACTCGAAACTACATGAATGATTTAACATTGTAATTTTTTTCAAATTTTCTAATTTAATTTGAAGGCTTTCACTGCTGCTTATTTTGATTAATGGTACACTAAGGTTAAACATAACACTCACCACTTGTTTCATCACCCATCAGAGGACTGTAACGACTACTTTGGGGACCAGCAAAATCCAAGATGACTTCTAGTCTGGAATATTTTCTATATTCGTTTATGAAGAAAGTACCATCAATTTTCTGGGTATATTGAAGATAATAAAATTATTTTTGCTTATTGTTCAGTGTTAAGGGATTTAGAGATGCAGCTAAGAGTGAAGCAAGAGATTTTAATGTTAATAAAGGTTTTTTTTTTCTTAAGTGTTGTTTTTAGAGGTTTAGAGTTAGCCTTAGAGGTTTCTTGCAGTCTGACATCTATCATTTGGAACAGTATCATGATACCGAAATTATTACTTTGGTTAGGATGTACTATTAAAAATTAGTGTCTAATCTATCTTGTATATAATTGCTGGTACCTTTGCAATTCTTAAAAATGCTGACTTATAGATACTTGGTCTTTGTCTCTGCCTGAGCTTTCTTAACATACTCGTTTAAAAAAAATTGATCTAATTTTTGTGGGAAAAAAACAACATGTCCTTAAAGAAACAGCTGTTTGATATGGCAGATTAATTTCTAATTTCATGGTATTAAATTATTTTCTTTCTGGTATCCCTACAACTTTTAATCGTAGATAAAAGATTTACAATTATTACAAAATCATTCCAAGGTTGACCAACTTAACTTCACATGGTTTACAAGATAAAATTGATTAATGCAGGTCCATGTAGAGTGTTCACTGGAGAGTCTTCTGCATTTACAGAATATTTACCTGCACAAAACTGTGCACTATTAAGAAAAAACATAACTAATTAATTTTGTGATTATCTGAAAGTATCGGAAAATATTTTCCAAATTTGTTTGATTCAAAGTAATTGAACTTGTAAAAACAAAGTTGATTTAGAAATAGTAATAATTAATAACCATAAAAGATTTTTACATATTTTAACCAATTTTATCTGCATTTTGTCAACATCAACACTGGCCTCTTTCATCAATATCCTCTACACTAGTCTTCCATATTTTCAAAATACACGATTTTTTATTACAGGAAGGATTTGATTTCAAGATATAAAAGTTTTCATTAATTGATAAAATTTACCATTATGAGAGAACATTTTTTTAAAATTGTTTTTGTTATCAGGACAAAAAAAGAAAGATTTTTTAATCTAAATCATTTATCACGAGTCCTCAATTAGAAAAAGGTTCAAATGGCACAAATCACCCAGTTATTTATGTTCATCTGGTTCTTTACTAACTAAGGAAAAATAATTAAAATTAATAATAAAGTGTGTATTTTGAAGCTGGAAGAAACAAAATTGCGAGAAGAACGTGCTCAAGAACGCAACCGAAATATTAACCAGCTACGCGAGGCTGAAAGTAGTGCAGCTCAAAATAGTGCTGCCTCAGCTGCAGCTACATCTACTGAGGAAGTATTGGCAGAACGAGAGCAGCAGGAACAAGAGCGACGGAATCGTAGTGAACTGATACGCCGTCAGCGAAGTCAGGTAAATTAATGCGTCTTTAAAACTAGCATGTATTACTATTGTCAGAAACGGGTTGGTTAACTCTCAGGGAATTCAATATTATTTAGAAATGAGAATTTGTTGGGGAATATTTGCTTTTGAATATCATTTTTGTGAAAACTGCTAAATTTGTCGTATTGCTTATGTTAGGTAGATTTGTTATTGCCATATTAAACAAAAAGTAAATATCACACTCAACCCTTTGGAATGATATGAAAGAATTTAAAATTTCAGTTAACGTGGAATGTTTTGTAGTATTAGACTCACTGAAAATGGTTTTAACAATGGAGACCTTTCTCTTTTTAATTTTTCAAGCTTTTGAGGAGATTAAAATTTAATGTTTCAGTTTGGAATGGAAAATAAATTATAAAAGTAGGATGAAGTTCACAGTTAAATTGCCTTGCGTATTTTCTTTATCCCTCACAGGAAGCCCAAGCTGTGATCTCTCAACGTACATTTGATGCCCGTGCAGTATTCGAACAAAACACGTCAGCCGGACAGATGCACAACAGGCGCAAGGCCTCATTGCCAATGGGCCTTAGAACTGAGCAGCTGCTGCTGGAAGAGAGTCCTGCCCCAGAGCCTGTACCCATCGTGCAACCCAACATAGGTAAAAAGCATTTATTTACAGTATGGCAAGAATCTTCAGGGAGAGATTGCTGTGGCCAAGGCTAGGAATCTCAACATGGCTCTAGTCAGATATCCCTGATAAGGTATTTGGGGTGAAATATTTAAATGAAGATAGTTACTTGTGAGATGGTGGAGGAGACTGGAAAGAAAGGTAGGAGAAACAGGAGGACCTTGAGGAAACTGGCTACAAACCCTTGTCACATTATTCACAACGAAGTGCTCTGGGATTAGACAGGCATTGAATCCTGACCCAAGTAGTGGAGGACCATTATCATGGGTCATCTCTTATAACTAATAACAAGGATTTTGTTGATAGTGAAAGAAACAGTGATTTTCTCCAAATACAAATGGATGGGTTTTTGGAAACTTGTTGTTTTCTGACTATAACCAAATTCAAATCAAGTAGAAAAGTTGTGACACACAGTGTAAAGTATTGTGTAGATGGTTAATGTCATCATTACATTTTTAGTAATAAAATATAATACTTCTTCATTTATAACTTGTGCATTCAAATACCTAAAATTAATAAGGTAAATTAATAAATTTGCTGCTATTTTTATTCCTTTTGTGGATGAATTATGAAATGGGTCCTTTCCATTTGTGGAGCAAAAATTAGGGGACAAAAAAATGTAAGTGGAAAGCAAATCTGGGGAAGAATCAAATATCGTTGTAAATTTTAGGACAGAATTTTCAGAACAAATTGAAAATGATCTTATTAGAGAAAAACGCTGAAGAACAGTTTATGGATGATATTTTATGTGCTGTGGGGGGAAAAGGTTCAAAATGGGAACTGTAGTAAATTCTAACTATTTGCATCATCCATACCTGCCAACATATTTTATTGAATTGTACCATATAGTTTAAAATTGCAAGGAACATACGTATATTACGATTAAATAAATTATTTCTATTACAAATTTCCTACCATTTTTAATATTGTGAATGCCAAAAAATAGGTGCTTGTTACAAAACATTTCATGGGTCTGCGATGCGATAAAAATCAAGGGTTTTCTCCAGCATTCTTTGTAATCTGAGGAAGCATAGTTAGCGTTCAGAAAAATTAAGACTGTTGCCCATGTAAAACTATTTTCTTTAACAGATCTTCAAACGATTAAGTTTGTCAGTGGTGCAAATCAGACAAATTCAAAAAAGTCACAAGAGTAACTAACTTTTCTCTGACCCATTAGTTCTAGGATACAATGTGTTAGAGACCAAAAACTGCACTTTACAATTTTTGAAAAAGTGAGAAAATGAAAATATCTACAAATGATGTTGACTAAAACTATATTATAATGTATTTTGTAAGTATGCTTTGCCGCCACCCCCACTCCCCACACACACACACACGCACACACTCGCACACACACCCTTTAAAAGATTGGAAATCCTGTCTCTGCATTTAGTGAATGTTTTGGATCACAGAATTGTTATCGAGGTGTGTGTGAGTATTTTGTGTGTAAATGTCAATATTTTGGCCTTCATTTCTCTGTAAGCACATGGCTATTCAATTATTCCATTAGAGATTGAGTTCAGAGTATTTTTTCTTTTGCAGAAGAGCCCCCTGAGGTACAGCCTGTTCTTCCCGTAGCTGTGCAAGAGGTGAGTGAGGTACAAAAAGTATTTTTCTTCAGGTTGGATTGGATTAAACTGGATTTGTTTTATTTTAGTCCATGAAGTATCCCAAAATTAAGCTCCTCACAAATTTTTACTTTGTCCCACTTATTAACTTAAGAAAAAGTATTGTATGAAGCACCGGAAAACTGTCAATTTCCAACACAAAAACTCTTATTTCCGGGTCCTGGTAATGAAAAAGTGGATAAGTACAGTTGCTAAATATAGAAAAAAATTCCTCTAATACATGGTGTAGTGAGAATCTTTGTTTTGTGCATCCTTCATACCAAGAAATCGATTGACTGTGAAACCCCCATCTGTCTGCACAATGCTACCATGTAAACCGTTTCCCTGATTTTCTCCAAAATTATTTCTCCCAATTGTTCTGGCTGATGTTGTGGCCTCGGAATTTTGAAACCCATATTTTAATTTTGGGGTATTTTACTTCAAGGACATTTCCAAAAAAAAGGCTCTAAATTTTTTGATTAAATTTTGTTGAATAGTGTGAAGGACATGAGAGATGCGTAGATGTAGATCTCATTTTCATTAATATCCACTATTTTTTGGAAATTGCAACAAAACATACACACATATGCACACACACACACCACACACACACACACACCACACACACA